CATTCATCCCGGACACTGAGGTCCAGCACCGAAGGCCTTCTGGCAGTTCCCTCGTTGCGAGAAGTGAGGTTACAGGGAACCAGCCAGAGGGCCTTCTCGGTAGTGGCGCCTGCCCTGTGGAACGCCCTCCCAGCAGATGTCAATGCAATAAATAAATATTTTACTTTTAAAAGACATCTGAAGGCGGCCCTGTTTAGGGAAGTTTTTAATGTCTGACGCTGTATTGTTTTTAATATTCAGCTGGAAGCCGCCCAGAGTGGCTGGGGAAACCCAGCCAGACGGGCGGGGTATAAATAATAAATTATTACAATATTATTATACCCCTTTTTCAAAGCTATATAGGAGCTGTTGTGTAGTGTTGGGGCGTGGGGCAGAGGGGCTGTTTATCCGGGTGCAACTGCTTTGCGGGTTTTATTTTTTAAAACAAAAACGAAGCAATCAAGTGGTTAAAAAGTTCATAAAATAATTAATATTAATAAGATAAATGACCGCTGCCACTGTCCGTTTCCCTCTCTTTGCTGGGAAGACCCTTCCCCACCAATATCACTGCAGCCTGGCCCTGACAGGAACCGTGGGTTAAGGGGTGCAAGACTTGCTTTGCCCCAGGGCACTGGCAACCCACGCAACACCACTGTATAGGAGCTCCAACATTTCTCCTTTACAAATGAACCCTTGCTTGTTACATGGTCCAAACGTAATCATGAGTACCGTTTGAAGAAGAGATTTGCCTCAGAGGAGAAATAAACAATACGCTGGCAGGCACTCTGTGTGCTATTGCCAAGAGACAGACAAAATGAACTCTTGTTGTTCCTACACACACCCACCCAAGGCAGAGGCAGATATGGCATAACAAATGCTGAGAAATGTCAGTAGGCGGGCACACCATCTTTTGGCAGGTGGCAGCAGGACGTGTAGAGACAGGAGAGGGGGGAAACAGGGGCATGCAGCTGTTCATTTTTAAAAGGCAAAGGGTGGTCTGCGCCGCATGTCAAAACCAGAAGGTCGGCCAGCGAGACGTCTGTCACTTCTCGGAGGAGGCATTTTGCAAAACGTGGCATTGAGAGCTGCCAAATGTCATAGGGGATTGGTAGGTAGGAATCTGCACTGCAGAAAGTCTTCATGGAGCAATTGTGGCGCTTAGGGAGGTGGGGCCCCCGCAGTGCTCAAGCCACTATTTTACCACCACTATTTGCTCTGAAATTTCATTTTAATGAACTGACGAAAGAGTGGGTGGCTTTCTAATAGTGGATCAGCAGCCTTGCGTGATTTTGTTTCCCCTGGAGGTATTCCCAGACGGTCAGTGTTTTGCAGGAAGTATTAAAGTTGGGGAAATTTGGGTTTCCGCAGTCAAAGAGGATTAAAGTACTCTGTTGCCCCAACGGAACATAATCACTTTTTAAAAGAAAGCCACTTCCGAGATGAGGAGGAGGTGGGGTTGGGGGCTTCACGCCCCTCCCCACACTTGCGGGGGCTAGCTCCAGCCCGCACGATAACAGAGGGAATCCTCGCCGCATCATACCCCGGGCCAGCCAATCGGCTGGCTCTGGGGGCGTGGCCTCAGCTATTTAGAACGGCCGCAGCCGAGGCTCCTCCTCTTTCCCTCGCTGCAGCCGACATGGTTTTCCCTCCCTTCTCACCGCTTTAGGTTAGGTTCTTTGACGTTGCTATGAACTTCGGTTGGTCGCCATCTAGGGGCCTGGTAGGAATTTTTCCAATTGGCAGATTGGCACCAGCCACTTGGTTTTCACCTACCTCGTAGCAAACCGTCACAACTCCTCGGTATTGGCGGTAGGCATTGGTGGGGGTACAGTCTATTGTCATGCAAATGAAGGGGGAAGGAGCGCCATCACCTTCCCCCAAAAGGGTAGTCCGGTAAAGGATTCCGGGGGGCGTGGCCTTGTCCTAAGCCTAAGGAGGTGTGAGCCCACGGCACGCCCCCATGCGGTGACGCCAGGGGGAGGTCCTAGTTGACGTGCCTCATCAGGACTCCTCCCACTGGTGGTTAACCCTTATCGGCTTTCAAGCCCGTTGTTTGTTAGGACCAATGCCTAAGCCAATACCGCTCAATTCCTGTAATCAATAAAGTTGTGGCCTAATTTGACCCATTAACCTGAATTCTTGTGTCCTGTGTCTTTATTTCATTGGGGGAGGCAGGAACTCGCCACGCAAACTGAACTTTTGCAGGTAGGAGATATGAATTGAATGGTGCGGAATAAGGAAATGATTAACAGGAAGTTGTGTAAACAGCCTGCAAGCAAATTAGAAAGAATCCAGCTCAAATGCTTGCTGTCATATAACTGCCCCACAAACAAATCCCAATGAAAGCTAGATGACAGGCCTGAGACAATCGAATCTCAGTGTAAGTTTTGTGTAAGCAAAGCAGGATGAGTATTCAATATGTAGACTGTCTGGAGAAGCTGAGAATCTCCTGGTTTTCTCATGCACAAGCCTGGCATGACACCCTGAGGGTGTCAGGAGTGCATGCAGGAGCCAGGCCCTGTGACCAGTAGGACTTTGCAGGACTGGGGCCTTCCTAAGTTGGTTCTGAAGAGGCAAGGTATGGCCGCACAGGTGAGGCCGATTGATAACTCACAGCACCTGGTGGCAAGAGCCAGGAAGGGATATAAGGTCAGCATTTCCCTTCGGCTCTTTGCCACAGCAACACATTCCCTGCCTTGGTGCGTTTAGCTCCTTGACTCCTTGCTTCTTGATCCTCGGACCCGACTTCATGACTCCTTGCTTCTTGATCCTCAGACCCTTGGCTTCCTGATTCCTGGCTTCTGGACTCCCGTTCCTGCTCCCACCCCGCCATCTTGCTCCCGGTCCCGACGTCCCCAGCCGGGACTTTGATCGCCCGTGAACCAGGTCGTGACATAGGGTCAGCATTGGCTGCTTCCATTGGCCACCTGGAGTTTGGCCGGCCACAGCTCATGAGAACGGTTTGTGGGGCTACCAGTGTTAGCCACAGTGTGTGAGCCAAGGGTTGCATCCCAACATTTCCCACATTGTTCCGGGGGATACCACTGGTTGATTCAGTCCTACAGCTGCTTCCCTTGGCCACTTCATACTAGAGTATGAGGAGTATTTCCCTTAGCCACTCCCTTCAGCCAAATACCAACCTACAGAATGAGGGGAAGAGGTCACACACAGAGAAAAATGGGCCTGGGTCTCCATTTTGCTTACAGGCCACCATCTTGTATTGCCCAAACCTAGTGTAAGAAGAAATGTGGTAAATGCACTTCTACGTTCTGTATTCATAAGACCCCGTATTAAGCAACTCCAAGCAGTACTTTTAGTTTGGCTGCCCCCCGTTCTGTGGAATTCAATTTCCTGTTGAGACATAACAGGTGCCCATTCTCTGTCCTTCCTGGAAGCAGCTGAAGACATTTTTGTTCTGGCAATCTTTCCCAGCAGGATGAATACCATGGCTGTGTCTCCTATTTTTTCCAGTTAATTTGCTGTTATTTTCTGTGCTGATTTTAACTGCTTTTTAAAATGCTTTTCACTATATTGTGTACATCACCTGAAGACATCATATTAGTGGAAGGTGATATATTACTGCTGCCACTAATAATAACAATCATAGAATTTTTTTCAAGAGCTGTGTTTCCAGGATTGTACAGTCGTACCTTGGAAGTCGAACAGCCTAGTTCTCGGACATTTTGGCTCCCAAACGATCGAAACCCGGAAGTGATTGTTCTGGTTTTTGAACATTCTGTCCAGTTCTGGGCACGACAGTTCAAGAAGGACACTGACAAACTGGAACGTGTCCAGAGGAGGGCAACCAAAATGGTCAAAGGCCTGGAAACGATGCCTTATGAGGAACGGCTAAGGGAGCTGGGCATGTTTAGCCTGGAGAAGAGGAGGTTAAGGGGTGATATGATAGCCATGTTCAAATATATAAAAGGATGTCACATAGAGGAGGGAGAAAGGTTGTTTTCTGCTGCTCCAGAGAAGCGGACACGGAGCAATGGATCCAAACTACAAGAAAGAAGATTCCACCTAAACATTAGGAAGAACTTCCTGATAGTAAGAGCTGTTCGACAGTGGAATTTGCTGCCAAGGAGTGTGGTGGAGTCTCCTTCTTTGGAGGTCTTTAAGCAGAGGCTTGACAACCATATGTCAGGAGTGCTCTGATGGTGTTTCCTGCTTGGCAGGGGGTTGGACTCGATGGCCCTTGTGGTCTCTTCCAACTCTATGATTCTATGATTCTTTTGGAAGCCGAATGTCCAACGGAGCTTCCACGGCTTCCGATTGGCTGCAAGAGCTTACTGCAGCCAATCAGAAGCCGTGCTTTGGTTTTTTGAACATTTTGGATGTCAAACGGACTTCCGGAATGGATTCCGTTCAACTTCCAAGGTACAACTGTATAACTAAAAGATGCAGTTGGGGAACCATATGTTTGAATCATCTCCCTGCTGTTAGAAAAGCAGAGTATGAGTGAATGCAGATCTATCCTAGACTTCTGCCTAATTTTCATATGAAATGAGTTTTAACTGGGAGGAAGATTCTAACAATTTGCCATCTACACCAAGAAGCAGTATAGTTCATAGAGGACTACAGCATTTTAAAAGGAGGAAAGCCCTGATTACTCTCCTAATCTAGTTGTTTGCTGCCCTTTTGATCTCACTTTGTGATGTGCGAAAGCCATGGCAAGATTCTTTCACCTCATCATGAGTTGATTTTGTGCGTCAGTGTGATTGTAACCCCTACACAGAGATGGTTGATATTATATATTGGGAAAGACTTGAGAAGTAGCAGGCTCCAAAAGCTGGCAGATAAATCTGGGTGGAATCCTACTGTAAGTCAAGTGGGAGAGGTTTGGATACAAACATGAGTGTTATTTATGGATAGCTATGGCAACAAAGGGCTGCAATGGGAAGGACACATACAAAACTGCGATTGGTTGTTGAAATTTTATGCCATAATAAGTGGTAAAAATGAGCGGAGACAGTTTGGTACTCTTGGGTGATGGGAGCAAAGGGTCTGGTCCAGCTGTGGGGAAACTTCAGCCCTCAAGATGTTTCTGAACTACAATTCCCATCACCCCTGGCCGTTGGCAATGTTTTCTGAGGCTAATGGGAACGGTGAGAAAAAGAGGCGCAGCAGGAGAATAAGTGTGAGGCTTGTGGGCTTTCTGAATCAGATGAGGTGAAAACTATGATTTTATCCCTTGGGCCTAACAAGGAACAGTCACAATGCTGAGATAAATCCTTAAGCAGACTCCAGCAACCAGGGGTACGCAGAATCCTGTGGGTTTAGAAAGAGAACCTTAGAAAACAGAAGTGCCAGCGTTATATAAAGGTAAAGGTAAAGGGACCCCTGACCACTAGGTCCAGTCGTGACCGACTCTGGGGTTGCAGCGCTCATCTCGCTTTATTGGCCGAGGGAGCTGGTGTACAGCTTCCGGGTCATGTGGCCAGCATGACTAAGCCGCTTCTGGTGAACCAGAGCAGTGTACGGAAACGCCATTTACCTTCCCACCAGAGCGGTACCTATTTATCTACTTGCACTTTGATATGCTTTTGAACTGCTAGGTTGGCAGGAGCAGGGACCGAGCAACGGGAGCTCACCCCTTCGCAGGGATTCGAACCACCAACCTTCTGATCGGCAAGTCCTAGGCTCTGTGGTTTAACCCACAGTGCCACCCGCGTCCCTGCCAGTGTTATAATAAGGTGTAAACAGGAAGAGGTGATCCTTAAGGTACTGCAACTCCATGCTGCTTAGGGTCTTACAAGGCATCCTGCAGTTTAAAAATAAACAAACAAAAAACTATGATCGTCATGATGCCAAGATGATCAAGGGGGCAGAGAGGCGCAGGAGCAGTTGACTCACTTCTGCTCCAGAGTGATTTCCAGCGTTGCAATGAGAGACCCTTTTATGAGTTTGGGAACCTTTTCTTTTCCAATTAGAGCGCACAGCTGCTCAAGAGAAAGTGATTCCTGTCTGATGGGTAGCAGACACAAGGCAGGCACTCACGGCCTCAATGGGGGCCATTGTTCAGGGGGAAATCTTGCCATTCCAAATGCCCAGATGTTATGGAACTATTTTCTCCTTCATCTTTCACGGTCACTCTCTTCGTTTATCTAGCTGGGCTCTTTGAATCGAAGCGGCGGCTTTTGTGCACTTTGTAGATGAAGCACCTTCCAGCTTGGGCTTCAGGAATGTCATCTGGCTATGCTTTTCACAAGGGCTGTAGCTCCACAGTAGAGCATTTGCTTTGCATGCCAAAGGCCCCAGGTTCATCTCCAGGTAGGCCTAAAAACCCAGGAGAGGCTGAACCCCTTGCAGCCAGCGCTGGTTTGATACATGGCATAGGAAGTGCCCTGCCAGGGAAGGAAGTACTCAGAGCCAGTGTGGTGTAGTGGTTAAGAGCGATAGACTCGTAATCTGGGGAACCGGGTTCGCTTCCTTGCTCATCCACAAGCAGGTGCTGGGTGACCTTGGGCTAGTCACACTTCTCTGAAGTCTCTCAGCCCTGCTCATCTCACAGAGTGTTTGTTGTGGGGGAGGAAGGGAAAGGAGAATGCTAGCCGCTTTGAGACTCCTTCAGGTAGTGATAAAGCGGGATATCAAATCCAAACTCTTCTTCTTCTCACAGGGTGACAAGAGGATGGCAAGGAGATGGAGGGCAATGCACAGGAACCAGAGCAGCAGGACCCATCATGAGAGCCAGAGCTTCTCTATAGACATGGCAGGCTCTCAGGTGTACAGAGCATTGGGAGGTATGCTCTAGGACAGCCTTTCTCAACCTGTGGGTCCCCAGATGTTGTTGAACTACAACTCCCATCACCCCTAGCTAGCAAGGCCAGAGCTCAGAGTGATGATGGGAGTTGTAGTCCAACAACATCTGGGGACCCAAGGTTGAGAACCGCTGCTCTAGGAGGCTGTAACAGGCAAGGGCCCCCAGCCCAGCTCCTTATTTGACCAGGTGGGGCTCACTAGCTCTGGGAGAAGGTGTGAGATTCCTCAGCTTTAGGCTTGGAACAGGTGAGGGTCACCTGCCTCATAAAGCCCAGACGTGGCAATCAGAGCAGAGATGCTGTGTCTGCTCGGCTGCCCATGTTGGTGGGCCTTGGCTGGGATGCCCCTGGACCTCTATGGGACTGAGCTTTGTGTTGGACTCTGGACTGTATCCTGACTGCTGGATTCACCTTCGACCTTGCTTGCATGGATGGTCTTTTAACTTTGGACTTGACATACTGACTAGCCGCCAGGTAGGCCAAGGGTTCAGGAGACTTTGCTTCTAGCTGCTCTCGTTCTTATAGGTTTGCATGCCTTCACGACACCAAGGAACTCTCAATTAAATTCTGGTTCTGTGTCCCTCAACCTTCCTTGGATGATTTGGTCAACCAAGGGCCTCTAGAATTTGTTGAGAGCTGCCTTCTAGGTGAAGTTCAGCCTCGCTCTTCTGCTCTTGCAAAGTGAAGCAGGCAAGCTCAGAGTAAGCGGTACGTTGTTTTCTGGACAAGCCTTCCCTTTGACAGGCGGACAAAGGAAGCGGTGACATGTGGAATTGTTTCTCGTCCTCTCTCTTACTATGCTAAGAATTCCAATTTGCTCAACAGCTGCTGTCACAACCACCACCCAACCTTTGATCTGGTCGGTTTAAGCAATGTGCCTCTTAATGCAGCAACAGATGCAGCTGATTAAATATATAAAAATGCAACAAACCAAAGCCCCTCCTGGAAACAAATTGCTTGCCACCTTGGTGCCTTGGGAAGCCATCAACGCTTGAAAGAGACTTGCAGAGCAAATCAGGCTGGAGGGGAAGGGATGGAATGTCACTGTAACTAAGGATATGTCAACACTTTAGTTATAACCATTTATTTTTAGGATTGCTGGTTTGGCTTTCAACAACAAAATTCACTGAAAGCTGAAGTTTATGTTACAATACTTTGGGATGGATCTTAACTCTCACCAAAACTGTAGGAATAGCCTTTGCTTTAACTCTTCACTGCAGCTGAACTAGAATCCAAGGCGGCTGTCTTACCAGCTCCACCTGGTACACCGGCTGAGACCCTATCTGCCCACAGACTGTCTTTCCAGAGTGGCACATGCTCTGGTCATCTTGACTGCTGCAATGCGCTCTACGTGGGGCTTCCTTTGAAGGTGACTGGGAAACTACAACAAATCCAGAACGCGGCAGCTAGATTGGTGACTGGGAGCAGACGCTGGGACCATATAACACTGGTCCTAAAAGATCTACATTGGCTCCCGGTACATATCTGAGCACAATTCAAAGTGTTGGTACTGACCTTTAAAGCCTCAAACCTCTTCGGCCCTACATACCTGAAGGAGCATCTCCACCCCCATTTTTCAGCTCGGACACTGAGGTCCAGTTCCAAGGACCTTCTGGCAGTTCCCTCATTGCAAGACGTGAAGTTACAGGGAATGAGACAGAGGGCCTTCTTGGTAGTAGCGCACCCCCACCCCACCCCACCAGATGTCAAGGAGATAAAGAACTATGACTTTTAGAAGACACCTGAAGGCAGCCCTCTATAGGGAAGATTTTAATATTTGATGTTTTTATCGTGTTTTCATATTTTGCTGGAAGCCCCCCAGACTGGATGAGGCAACCCAGTCGGATGGGCGACATATAAATATAACAGTAGTGGTAATAATTATAATTATGGATATTAATAATAGCCCAGCCTCAATTTTCTAACAGTATAAGTTCTGCTTATGCAAACACTCACACATGCAAACAGCCCTGTGGGGCAGGCTCCCCATTTGAGGAGGCTAGGCAACATGCCCTCTGATGAGCCCTTCCTCTGCAGTTCGGCCCTGGTGGACTTGCCTAGTAGCAACGGTGCACACTAGCAAGCAGTAGTGCCATTTGGACGGAGGCTGCGGCATTAACTCCTCGCAATTCCCTGAAGCAAAACTGCTGTGGAAAATTAAACTGGCAGCTTGCGCCGCTCGAAGCATCGGGACGGATTCTTTATTCTTTCAAAGAGTGTTCTAGAGCTGGGTTCTGGGGCTGCAGCAGCTGCCCAGGTGCTAAGGTTGGCTCAGACTGCTTCTGGACACCCCAAAACACAAGATCTACATTAGGGAAAAAGAAAGGGGAAAACTAGGGGCTCTGACGGCCAACCATGTGACTACCTGCAAGAAGAGCGCACCATGGGTAGGCAAACTAAGGCCCAGGGGCCGGATCTGGCCCAATCGCCTTCTAAATCTGGCCCGCGGACGGTCCAGGAATCAGCATGTTTTTACATGAGTAGAATGTGTCCTTTTATTTAAAATGCATCTCTGGGTTATTTGTGGGGCATAGGAATTCGTTCTCATCCCCCCCTTCAAAATATAGTCCGCCCCCCCCCAAAGGTCTGAGGGACAGTGAACCAGCCCCCTGCTGAAAAAGTTTGCTGATCTAGAAGCACCGGCCCTCTGCCAGCCAGTAGCCAATTTTCAGACAGCACTCAGTGTGTGAGGATAAGGGTATTTGCTTGAACGCTTCTACTGTGAGACAGTGGAATCTGCTAAGCTGTGGGTGGAGCCTGGCAAACTCTGAAGTTTACTGGGTTTTCGGGAGCCAGTGCCAGACACCTGAGGCAGTTAAGAATAATGACAACGGTGGGAAAAAGAATCCAGAAGTAACAGTTGGGTAGGTACTAATTATTGCATTAGTTGAGGCCAACAAAAACAATAACGTGCCAACTGTTGTTCCCTGGAACTATATTATTATTATTTAAAACATGAGAAGAGCTTTGCTGGATCAGGCCAAGGCAGAAGTGTACCTAGGGCAGGGTTTCCCAAACTTGGGTCTCCAGCTGTTTTGGACTACAACTCCCATCATCTCTAGCTCGTAAGACCCCATTGGTCAGGGATGATAGGGGTTGTAGTCCCAAAAAGCTGGAGACCCAGGTTTGGGAAACCTTAACCTAGGGGTTGGTCAGGTTGGCCCCAGTCAAGGGTGCAGGCCCAAGGGCAGGGGGGTCGCACAAATCACACCTCTCCACTCTGTCTCGGAGTGGCTATGAGCCTGCCCACCTGCCTGCTCCCTGGGTTGCTCCTCCACTGCTCTGGGAGGCCAGGTGAGGGAAGTTTCTTGTCCATGGTCTCTCTCAGCTTTGGAGGCACTGATAAGGCTCTTTGCCAAGGGCACAAGGGAGCCTAGGTATGCCCTTGGGCCAAAGGACCATCTAGTCCAGCACCCTGTTGTTCGAGAAGCCAACTACAGAGCCAGTGTGGTGTAGTGGTTACAGCGGCGTAGCGTGGGTTGTCAGCACCCGGGGCAAGGCAAGTAATTTGCGCCCCCTAACCCGGGGCAAGGCAAGTAATTTGCGCCCCCTAACCTGCCGCCGCTGCCAGCTTCTTCTTGCTGCTGCCTGGTCTGGTCTGGTGTTGTTCTCTCCCGCGCTCAGTGCTGCGCTGGGCGGCCGCTGCACTGTCCCTCCCCCAGATAGCCCCTCGCTCTCTCTCCGCACCGCATGCCTGGCACCCACCCCCTCCACAGTGGGCGGCGACCCAGCGGCTCGGATCGGATTCGCACAGCCAGCACTGCAGTGAGAGAGAGTGAGTGAGCCAGGTAGGGGCAGAGAGCTGCAAGTGCGAGCGCGCCCCCCCAGATGTTGCGCCCGGTGCGGCCGGCCCCCCCTGCACCCCCCACGCTACGCCACTGAGTGGTTAAGAGCTGTGGACTCGTAATCTGGTGAACCAGGTTTGCTTCCCTGCTCCTCCACATGCAGCTGCTGGGTGACCTTGGGTTAGTCACACTTCTCTGAAGTCTCTCAGCCTCACTCACCTCACAGAGTGTTTGTTGTGGGGGAGGAAGGGAAAGGAGAATGTTAGCCGCTTTGAGACTCCTTAGGGCAGTGATAAAGCAGGATATCAAATCCAAACTCTTCTTCTTCTTCTATGGGAAGCTGAACCTGAGTGCAACAACCTTCTTCCCACTTGCAATTCCCAGGAACTGGAATTCAGGACTATGCTGTCTTGGTCATGGAGACAGAACACAGACACAACAATCGCTTGTGGCAACTGATAGTTTTATCCTCCGTGAATTCGCCTATATAAGAACATTAACGGGGTGACATTCCACTCTGTCTTCAAGGAGCTCAGAACAGTGTGTACTTTATGTGTAAAAGAGAAAGAGAAAGGCAGAGTCTGTTACCACACAACCTCACGAAGTGTGAAGCGAGCAGAGTCCTCGATCCTATCCCCACTTACCTGGGAGTAAGCCCCGTCAAACTAAATAGCATTTACTTCTGAGCAGCCACGACCAGGAGTGCCCTTAAACCGAGGCAGGATTAACAACGCCAAGGTCACGCGAGGTTCTGCCTTCCATTCGAGCTGCACGCAGCTCCGTCTAATAATAATAAAGCAGCCCCACATTTCCTATGGGCTTATTATTATGTTTGTTCTGTTAAACTCTCTCTCTCTCTCTCTCTCTCTCTCTCTCTCTCACTCCTTTCCACCGCCTAGGTCTCAAAGCGGCTCACCCACACAAAAATACGCAAAACTGAAAACCTCAAGAATCTCGAAACAAAAACAAGCTTTGCCCTTCCAGGAAATGCTTGATCTCTCCGGGCCGGCGGCGCGGGAGCCCTTCTGCTTTACCCAACTCCGAAGTCTCGAGCTGCGCGCCCGTCTCCAAACTCGGGCTGCGCCCTTGCGCCGGAGTTTCCTCCTTCAGCCCGCCCCGTCCGTCCTTTCTCCCCCCCCCACCCACCCCGCCCGGTTCTCCCCACTGCTCCTCCCCTCGGCTCGCCACGCTGCAAGGCTGGGAGCGCTCGGGGGCTCTCCCTGGTCCCTCCCTCTCCTACTCCTCCTCCTCCTTCGTCCTCGACGACTCTCTCGCTCTCTTTCGCTCGGGCGCCGAGGAGAAGTCTTGCGCGCTCCTCCGCGCGCCCTCTTTCGCTTCCCTTGCCCGTCCGCCTGTCTGTGCGCGCCCTCGATCACATGGTGCTTCGAGAAATGCTCCAAAGATGGCGGTAGCGGCGGCCGGAGGGGGAGGCGGCGTCGGCCGGGTGCAGCGCAGTGGCGCGCTGGAAGTTTTGGTGCGCGACCGGTGGCACCGGCTGCTGGTGAGCCTGAGCGACGAGGCGCTGGTGCTGAGCGCCGACGAGGGTGGCGCTCCCGCCGCCGCCGCCTACAACGGCATCGGGGCGTCGGGCAGCAACGGCAATGGGACTTTCTGCAGCGGGGCAGCGCTGGGTCCGGCGTCGGGGGGCGCCTCGGCCGCCTGCAGCCTTTCCGGCGGGGGTTCTCCGGAGTCGCCGTCGGGGGGCGGCGGCGGCATGAGCCCTAAATCGGGTTTGATGAGCGGGGTGCGCACGGCTTTCACCGACCTGCCCGAGCAAGTCCCCGAAGCTATCTCCAACAAGAAGCGGTGCGTCAAGGTGCTGAAGCAGGAGATGGGCGGGCTGGGCATCAGCATCAAGGGGGGCAAGGAGAACAAGATGCCCATCCTGATCAGCAAGATCTTCAAAGGGCTGGCCGCCGACCAGACCCAGGCGCTCTACGTCGGGGATGCCATCCTGGCCGTCAACGGCACGGACCTGCGCGACGCCACCCACGACGAAGCGGTGCAAGCGCTCAAGAGGGCGGGCAAGGAGGTGGCGCTGGAAGGTAAGGGCCAAGTCCTGCAAAGTTTCCTAAGAAAGAGACGGGGCGCGGGGGGGGGGGGAGGAATAGTGAGCTGGTGGAGCGCACAGCCCTGCCCCCCCAAATCGTGAAACGCTTCGCGCGTGTGTTCTGTGTATGAAGAGAAAGCCTTGTTTTTGGTTTAAATCTGGGCTGTGCGCCAGAGGCGCTCTTCACATGCCGAGAGGCGCTCTTGCGCTTTTAATCGCTTTGAGTGAAAGGCACCCGGGACGGACCGAGGGCAACGTCGGGTCCACCTGCTGGGGGTGCGTGGGAATGTGTGTGCGCGCGCTGACGCGGCTCTGACTTTGCAAAGCATTTCGCCCGTTGGCATCGGAAAGGGCATTGGAAGGTAGTTGGCTGCACTTGCTTGCAGAAACACCCACGGTATAGTATTTGCCTGTGGTGTTCGGCGGTAGCCAGGGTGGGTGCCTTCCACATACAGCTGCACTCGCAACTTGCCGTGGCCAGAGATGATGGGAGTTGTAGTCCCGCAACATCTGGAGGGCCCCACTTTGGCCAACGTTGCTATACTCACCCCCGTGGTGCAGCCTGTTGCCTGTCAGTCGACAAGTTTGGCGGGGCTTGCTCACGAGTAAATGAGTGGTGGATCATCCCCCTAAGGGCGTGTGTGCTAAAGAAAGGCTTCGGGTTTAAGTTCTTTGTTACGCTGAATGTTTATCTTTTAAAGATACATAGTAATAATAAAAATAAATGAGAAAAACGAAGGCGTTGGATTTTGCTGTGCTTGAAGCCCTTTGGGAACTGGCAAGGTGGGTTTTGAAGCTACTGCTGCAGGACTAGCACTTCTTAACCCGAGCTGGTTGAGCATCTCTTATCATTCTCTTGCTGGTATTGAGCCTTTGCCTTGAAAACACATTATGGTGTTAAGTTCCTAGGATATGGTTTGTTATTACTGTGCAGGTGAGGAGAGCCATGTGGTCTTTGCCTGGCTGTATTAAGGTGTTTGGGCTTGAAGCAAAATACACAATTAGGGGCTAATCCCCTAGTTGGCGCCTGCAGTCCTAAGCACACACTTACCTGGGAGAAATGAACCCCACAGAACAGGATGAGATTTACTACCAAGTAAACACACATGCTAAAAGGGACGCGGGTGGCGCTGTGGGTAAAAGCCTCAGCGCCTAGGGCTTGCCGATCGAAAGGTCAGCGGTTCGAATCCCCGCGGCGGGGTGCGCTCCCGTTGCTCGGTCCCAGCGCCTGCCAACCTAGCACTTCGAAAGCACCCCCGGGTGCAAGTAGATAAATAGGGACCGCTTACTGGCGGGAAGGTGAACGGCGTTTCTGTGTGCTGCGCTGGCTCACCAGATGCGGCTTTGTCATGCTGGCCACGTGACCCGGAAGTGTCTGCAGACAGCGCTGGCCCCCGGCCTCTTGAGTGAGATGGGCGCACAACCCTAGAGTCTGTCAAGACTGGCCCGTACAGGCAGGGGTACCTTTACCTTTACCTTAAACACACATGCTACAAACTGAGATAGGAAAGGACCTCTCTGTTTCTCTCGGAGGAACCATTCCTGGTTGGTTCATGTGTGGAGCCTTCTTTGGAGCAGAAAGAAGGGGCAGCAGAGAAAGTGTTAAGTGTGTCCCCCCCCCACCGTTGTCCTCTCTGCAAACACCCCCCCCCCCCCGCAACCTCTGCTCCCAATTGCTCACACCAGATTCTGACTTTGGATTGTACAAAGGAGAGAGAGGGAGAGAGGAAAATTAGGGGAAAGTTGCATGTTTTTATGTGCAGTGTTGCCTTGCATAGTATGGTGGTTAGATTGCTGGACTAGGAAGCTTGGAGGCCAGGTTTCAAATCCCCACCTTCAGCCATGACCAGCTTTGCAACCTTGGGCCAAATAACCTCTCAGCTCAGCCTACCTAATAGGATTGTTGTGTGATGATAAAATTGAGGAGGGAAGACAACCATGTCTTTATCTCCTCAGAGGGATATCAAAATAATCAGTAGATAAAATTTTTAAAAATGAAATGAGAGACAGACTAGAGCAGGCATCCCCAACCTGCAGCCCTCCAGATGTTTTGGCTTACAACTCCCATGATCCCTAGCTAACAGGACCAGTGGTCAGGGATGATGGGAACTGTAGTCCAAAATATCTGGAGGGTTGAAGGTTGGTGATGCCTGGTCTAGAGGTAGAATATGCCAGGACAAACGTCAAGGGTAGACAGGAATTTTCAAGCCTTTGTATGTGAATATTGAAACGACTCAGTGTGTATAAAAAGCATGAGGATTTGTTTCATCTGAATAGGGGGAAACAGCTGAGCAAAGATACCTTCGGTGTTATGTTTGACAGCCTCTCACAGCCATTTGCAAGCACATCTAGCAAAACAGGATTAGGGGCTTCACCAAAGGTAAAGAGAGGTGGGTTTGTTTATTTATTTACTTAAAAAGAAAAAGGATGACAATTGGGAGATGCTTTCGGAAGATCCCTCTGCTGCCCCCCCCCCCCCGCCAACCCTGTGTGACACCTTGTAAGTTAATAAGGGGTTAACTGCTAGAACTTTGCCATCTTATCTGTTGAAACAGAGAACAGTGGGTCAGATCAGGTCTTTCTGGCAAGGTGTGTAGTAGATAAAGCAAGCTTGGCTGGATACTTTTTGTTTCCTCATATCCGAGGAGCACTGTTTGTTTAAACTACTCTAAAGTTCAGCTCTTTTTGCAAGTGTCTGTCTGTCCGCCCCCACAACTGAAAACGTGAATGCAGATGTCGGAACTGCATTGGCTAAGAAGGTACTATATGCTGCATGCAAAGTGGTTTGCTTTTTCGCCCTGCTGTCAACAAACCCTTGAGGCCTCCTACATTTTGAAAAAGGCCGTCTTACGGCCCAGTGATATTTAATCGTGAGGTGAGGCTTCCTTCCAAATAAGAGCATGCAAGATTTAGTGGCGCTTGTGAGAAGTCGTTCGGGTCACAAACGTGAGCACCCATCCCTCTCCAGACTCACAGAGATTAAGGGTTGTGCAACTCTAGATTCAAAGCTTGATCAGTGATGAGTGACATGGTTGTCCTGCGTGCTCTGTTTGAGCAGGAGCAGTCTGTGTGATAAGCAAAGGTTAACAGTGTTCTCCTGCAAGGGCACTGCCCTGTGGACCAAAGTTGAGGAAATCATAACTTTGGGTGTGCAAAACCTCCGCTTAGTACCCTCCATCTGTTTTGGGCTAGAACTTGCATCGGGCTTAGCAAATGTGGCTGATTCATGGATGGTGGGTGCTGTAAAAGGACCCCTGCCCATTAGGTCCAGTCGTGACAGACTCGGGTTGCGGCGTTCATCTTGCTTTATTGGCCGAGGGAGCTGGCGTACAGCTTCCGGGTCATGTGACCAGCACAACTAAGCCGCTTCTGGCGAACCAGAGCAGTGCACAGAAACGCCATTTACCTTCCCTCCGGAGCGGTACCTATTTATCTACTTGCACTTTGACGTGTTTTTGAACTGCTAGGTTGGCAGGAGCAGGGACCGAGCAATGGGAGCTCACCCCGTCACGGGAATTCGAACCACCGACCTTCTGATCGGCAAGTCCTAGGCTCTGTGGTTTAACCCACAGTGCCACACGCGTCCCTGGTGGGTGCTGTAGTCCAACACAATGTGGACGCCTCCATGTTAGAGAAGACTGCGGGTAAGAGAACAGAGATGATACTTGTCACCCCTCAAGAGAGATTATGGGAATCTTTGTCTTAATTGCCCCTCCTTCCCTAACTTTGAAAACTATGGACCGCATTTTTAAAAGGTTTCCGAAATGGGACTTTGGAAGAAGGGTTACACCTAAAAGTTGTTGCTGCTCTCTTCTCGGTGTTTGTCAAAAGTAACCTGTGAGGGCAGATCCCCAGGAGCCAAATAGCAAAAAGTTACAGGAACAAAACATCCATTTTGTGGTTTTTTTTAGAGAGAAAATGCCCTTGGTGATAACTTGCGTGCACACACAAGTTCATTGTCCTAGAGATTCCCGACCTCCAGTTCGTTAGCATTTGTGAAGAAGGTTGACAGGCAAAACACCACTCGAAATCTCCTGTTTTCTTTTGAAAAAGGTTTGCTCAGCACTTGAAGCCTTGAAAAATGATTG